GCGCGCACACACACACACACACACACACACACACACACACCTGTTATCCCAGCACATGAGAAGAGGCAGAAGGATCAGGAGTTCAAGGTTATCCTTGGCTATATAACAAGTCTGAGGATAGCCTGGACTCTGTGAACAAAAGAGACACCAGTGGGAAGGAATGAGATGTGCTGGGGGCTGTCAATCACATGGAGACTGTTGGGGTTCTAGGAGAAGTGTGTGCTATGGGAAAAGGTCGTCCAGCAGCTGCTGACCTTAGGGGTTGACTTCCCATAGTCTTCCTTTGACCAGCATGTTTATCCCTGATCCTCCTTCTGCGGAAGAATGAGCTCATCACTGGACACCCTGCTTGGCTACCCTACAGATGCTCGAGACCAACAAAGCTTTTGTGTTATTTGCTATCAACCTGCCTTGAATGTGCCCCGAATGTGGAATGTAGCGTTGCCCTGCCTCTCCTCACAGGCCTCAGAGCCCAGTTACAGTTCCCCCAGGGCACCCTTCATCTCTTTTTCTCCCGAGGAGAAGCACAGACACGCTTTTGCCGGAGCGTAATATGCCAGTGTGTCTCCTGAGTGGGCTCGTAAATCAGTGCGGTCTCTGGAGAGCGGCACGTGTAATCACTGCTCGAGCCAGTGTGTCGCATGTGCAATGAACAGATGTGGCTGCATTATTCAGTCTCCTTCTTTGACTTCCCTGCTCGAATGTACGTTTAAAAATGTGATGTTGATGAACGCACCTCCCCAAAGGAATATAAATTCACCACCAACAGAACTGGCCCCCAGATTTGGATGCACCAAGAAGGAGTTTCAAATGCTTAGGTTAACCACTTGCCATGTTGGATTCCTGTCGAGTTCTCGGCCCAAAATGTTATGATGTATGTGTCATTTCAAATTCTCTTGCTAAAGATGAAATAATTGCTAATTATATCATCCGTGAAATTTACATAAATGTCAGAAGACATGGTGTTGTAGTAGAAATGTGTTTGTTTAATTCTGCTCTTTATTTCTTTTCTTTTTTTTAACCCATCATGTGAAACGTGATATATACACAAAGTGTCTATGCATGGTTTGTAGAAGGGCTGTCACCATGAACATCTGCATCTCCAGAGCCTAGAGATGATGCAGGATACTGCTGGCTCCTGGGGTGCTGTGTTGTCTTTCCTCCTTCCTGAAGGGGCTGCAGCCTCACAGTCATGGCGGCAGCTTGCTGCTCTTGCTTTGACTTTTACCATGTGTATCCATTCCTGAGAGTGTGTGGTGTCTTGAACAATGACCCTGTAGACTCATATTATGAATGCTTAGGGAGTGGCATTAGGAGGTGTGGTCTTGTTGGAGAAAGTGAAGTATGTCACTGGGGGTGGGCTTTGAGTGCTCAAACCAGGCCCAATGTCCCTCTCTTTCTTTCTGCTGCCTGTGGAGATATCAACCTCTCAGCCACCTCTCCAGCACCATGTCTGCCTGCATGCAGCCATGCTTCCTGCCATGACTACAATAGACTTCTTAACAGTAAGTCAGCCCCAGTTAAATGTTTTCTTTGTAAGAGTTGCTGTGGTCATAGTGTCTCTTCACAGTTCTAGAAACCCTGACTAAGACACAGCTCAGTTTATTCCATGTTTATATCATGCTATATGCATTTACGGTGTCCCTGTAAAAAAAAAAAAAATCTAGGAATGTTTCCTTCAGGGCTGAGTCCCAGTTGCCTTGTTGCCTCTCCAGGCCAGCTTGACCACATTCTTTGTTGGGACAGGGGTGTGGACTTGGGACTTTGGTTCATCTTTAACACTGCATTGCACTTTCTTAGTAAAGGAAGACTTCATATCTGGAAATACAATACATTCCTATTGTAATGGCGCTATATATATGTATATTTGATAAATTATAAATGTATGTATATTTTATTTTATTTTTAGACAGGGTCCCTATTGCTCAGGCTTGTCTTGAACTTAACTATGTAGCTGAGGACAATCAAACTTCTGATCTCCCGCCTCTACCTCCCAAGTGATGGGATTACAGGTGTGTGCTACCACGCTCAGTTCATGCAGTGCTGGGCCTCAATCCAGGCCTTTGTGAATGCTAGGTAAGCACTCTACCCACTGAGTGGCATCTCCCGTCTTCATATGAATTCTCCTGTGCATTCTCTTGGGCTTCGCTTGCACAGACCCTACAGACTAGAGTAGTGTCTTCTATAAAGGATGCTTGAACTTTGTCTCAGAGAGTTAGTGATCGAATATGTGATTCAGTGTGAACTGATTTTATTGTGACCCTTAAGCATTTCAGACACACTGCAAAAATATTGCTAATTGTAATATATATAGCTAGATCCACAAACTTTATCTAAAGGTAAGATGAGGGCTGGGAGGATGGCTCAGTGGGTGTAGTGCTTGCTTTGCAAGCTTGAGAACCTGAGCTCAGATCCCAAGCACCCATGTAAAAGCTGAGTGAGCAGGAGAGTGTACCCACATACACACATGTGCACATACATGTGCCCACGCACATGAATGAATGAATGAATGAAAGGATGAAATCCTTTGTAGGTTAGATGGCTTCATCTGGATACACAGAACCATTTGTTCTTTCCTGCTCCTCCCTGCCCTAGTCCCTGTAGTTTTACAGGTCTTTCAATGGGAAGCAAAAGTAAATCATTAAGATAATTTAACATTAGTGAGTCAGAGGCAGGCATCACTTTGGGATTTTTTTTCTTGAGCTCTGGTCCAAAGAGCAGGTGAGCTATGAGCCATGTCGAGCAGAGACTCTACATCCCAGGCTCCCTGTCAAATGCATACAGCACACTCCTTATCTCTGAATTATTTCAGACACTACTCCAACTGATAATAATGCCTAACGCCCACTTCTGTCATGTGCTTTGTGATAGAACTTGCTGCTTAAAACACAGTTCACTTATTGGACAGTTTGAGATTTAATGTCTGATGGACTCTGTTCTGGCTACTATGGCAAATGGTCACAGCTTAAACATTCATCTCTCAATTCTTGAAGCCAGCTCTGAAACCAAGCTGCCTGCATATCCGTGGTCTGGCAAATACACAGTTACACATTCTCAAACAGTGGGGAGCTAAGAGCTCACATTCTCAAATAGTGGGGAGCCAAGAGTTCAGGTCTCTTTTGACCCTTCTAGGGCACCAACCCTACCCAGGGGAGAGTGGAGTTCTCGTGACTAATCACTTTCCAAATATCATAGCAAAAAAGAAAATGTAGGTTTGGTTGGTTCATGGAGAAGGATTCTAAGACCAAAATTACCTTTCAGAATAAGTTTTATTAGAGAGTCTGGTTCCATGGAGGCCATGATCAGGCCCTGAGGGGAGAGCATTAGGAGGGATGGTACGTTGTACCAGAGGCAGCATCATGGTGCCTTGAGCAGGGGTGAGGAGGGACTCTGGGTGTTATGAGGAGAAAGATCATCAGGAGGGATAGCTTAAAGTAAAAGAGATGGGTACCACATCCCTTTCCTTTCAAAATTAAAAAAATATATATTTTTAATTTATGCATATTCATGTCTGTGTTCGTGTATGTGTGACAGAGTGCAGTGCCCATAGAGGCCAGGTGAAGGCGTCAGAGTTGCAAGTTGCAATTAGGAGTAGTTATGAGCTGCCCAATGTGTGTGCTGGGAGCTGACTCAGGCACTCTGTAGTATGGGCTCTTAGCCAGGATCTGCCAAATTCCTTCTGTAACACTTCGCCAGGGGCTAGGGAAGTTCTGATGCCTAACTAGAGGCGTCAAAATTGTTCACTCAGAGCAGCAGAGTTGAGGAAGAATCCTTGTTCACAAGTCCCTGCTACACACACAGGAGGTGAGAGGAGGGGGAAAGAGAGAGAAAGGCTGGTGTGTGTGTGTGTGTGTGTGTGTGTGTGTGTGTGTGAGAGAGAGAGAGAGAGAGAGAGAGAGAGAGAGAGACATTCTATAGTCCAGGGAGACTCCTCGAGATAGTTCGTTTCCCATCCACTTTTGTTGTATTAGTGAAAGAAAAGAATTGCATTTATTGGTTAGTTATTTAAAAATTAAAATGTCCACTGGCTTTCACTGTTATTGCTAGTAGGATAGTAGATTTTTTTTCTTTTTCATTTTTGTTTGTTTTTGTTTTTTGAGACAGGGTTTCTCTGTGTAGCTTTGGAGCCTGTCCTGGAACTAGCACTGTAGACCAGGCTGGCCCTGAACTCACAGAGATCCGCCTGCCTCTGCCTCCCGAGTGTTGGGATTAAAGGCATGCGCCACCACTGTCTGGTGGATAGTAGAATTCTTCTGTATTTGACTCAGTGAGATAACTGTGTGGTGTGTATGATGTAACTCTTTTCTATGATGTAGTCTTTTTTATTTTAGGGAGTTGTACTGTCTTGGCAGGTGTATTGCACCTAACTAAGGATTAATTAGAATTTTGTTTTATCAAATGTCAGTGATGTACTAAAAGAGTATTTTCCTGCATGGTTAAAAAATTGGTCAGGAAAAAATAGCAAGAAAATATAGGGAAATTGACTTAACTGTAAAAGACATTGTCAATTAGAATACCAAGTCTAAAATGGCTCTTACATATGAACTTATTTGCATAGATTAACATTTAATCAGAGACAAATTTGGGAAATTGGGAAGCTTTTAGTGTACTGATACTTGAAGATAGCTATATAACATACTGTTTAAACTCAGTTTTTATACTTCTTTTAAGACATTTTACATTTAATTTGTGTGTGTGTGTGTGTGTGTGTGTGTGTGTGTGTGTGTGTGTGTATGTCTGTGTGCTCAAGCACATAGGTCAGAGGACAACTTTCTGGGAGTCTGTTCCCTCATTCTGTCACGTGGGCCCCAGGAACAGAACTCAGGTCATCAGGCTTGGTGGCAAACATCTTTACCTGCTGAGCCATCTCACTGTCCCCATATACTATAGTTTGAAAGCTCAGTTTATAACAGTAAAACACACCCTCCTTTACATATAAGCTTTATTTAAATGTGTGTATGATTCTCTGTGTGATTTTGACTTCCGAATAAGGCAACCACTGTGGATAAAGGATAAGGTTTATTTGTTTTTTGTGAGTGTCTCTTTGACTCATCTGCTCCTCTGCTTCAGTCTTTTTGAGTTCACTTCGCATTTTACAAAGACTTTCTCCTGGGTGGGGTGAAGCTGCAGATCATCTATATTTTCAGGGCAAAAAGTCATTCTGAATAGAAAAAAAACAAAAACAAAAAAAACCACGGTGTGATGTTTCAGAGGGGGTTTGTTGAAGTATTCAACTGTTATCAAATACCAGTCCAGCTGTGTAATGCATGTGATATGATGTTTTTACATTAGATGCTTAGGTTTGGATATGGTTTTATAACTTCAGAGAAAAAGAAAACTTAAGTTGGTGAAAGCAGTCCTCAGGGGGCTCTACACTGAAACCCCAGGGGCCTGCTTCTTTTTTTCCTAGTAACAGCTCTTCAAAAACTTGAGGGTGAGGGTTGTCTCACTACATTTCCCCTACTCCAGGACAGATGTTCATAATTCCTCAACTTCCTGTTCAGGCTCAGTACCCAGTGTTCAGCCTTGCTAATTCAATCCTGCGGCCCTCCCCTTCTACCTTTTGGTGGTGACACTAGCCCTTTAGGGTGTGCCTTTAGGAAACCAAATAACTGGTAGCTTTGAACATTATTTTGCCCTAAGGGTGCCGTTTTATAGTGACTTCAACTCTATCCTATCCTTCCTTCCTGTCTATCTGTCTATCTGTCTGTCTATCTATCTATCTATCTATCTATCTATCTATCTATCTATCTATCATCTATCTATCTATCTATCTATCTATCTATCTATCTATCTATCTATCTATCATCCCAGAGAATTCTAGTTATGGCTTATTTTTTCTTTAGATTTTACCTAAGGTAGAATCTTTACTATCAGTCAGTCATTTTAAGTTAAGAAAATTATGTAATTTAAGAATTTTTTTAAGATCAGGATTTCATGAAGCGCAGGTTGACTTCACACTCACTACGTGCCAAGGATGATCTTGAACTCTTGATTCTTCTATAGCCTCCTCCCGATTCCCGGAGTCACAAGCCTGTGCCCCCACACCAGTCTTTTGTGGTGCTGAGGGATCAGACTCAGGGCTTCATGCATACAAGGCAAGCACTTTACCCACTGAGCCACATCCCCAGCCCTGTTTATTCTTTCTGAGGATGCCGTTCCTCTAAGCTTTTACCAATCAACTCTGTTGCTCCTATCTTTCCACCCTTTCTCTTCATCTCACTACACAGCCTCTCTGTGCTAATTGTTTTGGTTTGGTTTTGTCAACATGACACAAAGCTAGATGTATCTGGGAAGAGGGATTCTTAATGGAGAAAATGCCTCCCTCGGTTTGGTCTGCAGGCAAGTCTGTGGGGCATTTCCATGGCTGATGATCGATCTCTGAGGACAGAGTTCCCTTGGGGTGGAACCACCCCTGAGCAGTTGGCTGTGGATTGTACAGGGAAGCAGGGTAGGTGAGCCAGGAAGCAGCGTTCCTCTAAGGTTTCTGCTGCAGTTCCTGCCTTTAGATTTCTACCGGGAACTTTCGAGTAACGGACATGTAAGATGAAATCCACTCTTTTCTCTGCCAGTTGCTTTGGTCATGGTCTTTGTCATAGTAGTAGAGACTTGAGACACCTCCCCTGCAGGCATAGGGTGAATTATTTAACTTACCTTTTCTTTTAGTCCTTGCATTTAGCAGTGTGGTTGGGAGTGTAGGATTTTGTGTTTGTATCTTGACTCTGGCCTTTGGTTTGCCAAAGGTACTAAACATTGGTCCCATGAGACAGGCAGTATGATTTCCATGTGTTACAACCCCAGTCTTAAAGAGGTGAGCTTGTTGTCTGAGTCAATATAGGCAGTGAGTTGTGGAACCAGAATTCCGACTGACTCTGTCAGTCACGGTGTTTAACTCACTGCCTGTCTCCTAGGAATGCCTTTGCCCCCACCACCCCCCAAAAGCATGCTGCAGTCCAGTCCGGGTGTCTACAACTTGAATCACCTGTCTTTACTCTTCCTGGGCTATGCAACACTGGGATCTTGGTATTTAAAGTCCACAGACAGCAACAGTAGCAGCTGGGAGCTTTTTTCAAACTAAGGAATCTCAGGTCCTGCCCAGGCCTGCTTAGGTAGGACTTGCATTCCGAAAAATCTGTAGGTTCGTTAAAATTGGAGAAGTCTTTGGCTGGAGCATACTGTTAGCAACATTAATCTGTCTTTCTTTCCTAATGGTGTCCTGGAGTCTAGAAAGTCACAGCTCCAGAGTTTGGAGGTGCCCCCCCCCAGTGGCACTTGATACTGCATAGACATAGAGGAGTATTTACAACTTGGAAAATCACAGAGCTTGTAGCTCCACGGTTCCTTTCCCCCCCTTTATATGTGTATTGGGTGTTCCTGTATGTGCATGTGGAGGTGTGTACATGTGTGGAGGCCAGAAGATAACCCCAGGCATTATTCTTCAGACACTGCCCACCTTGTACTTCTCAGAGTCTCTTGTTGGTCTGGAACTTATCAAGAAGACTAGTCTGGCTGGCCAAGGAGCCCCAGGCAACCTGTCTCCACCTTCCTAGCATTGAGATTACAAGTTCATGCCACTACCCCCAACTTTTCTTGTGTGAGCCCTTGTGCTTGTAAGACAAACATATTGACTAGCCTCCCCCATGCCTCCTCCATCACTTTTAAGTGTGCACAACCTACGGCCCAGAGGAAGGAATTGATGCACTTATATATTAATATCCAGTGTTGCAATTCTGCTAAATTGGACTAGAGAAAATTAGATTAACGGAGCCGAGACTAATGAAAGGAGGCGCCACTTGAAACAGCATACCAGGAAGCAAGGGGCCAACCTGACCAAAGCAAGGCAGAACTAGGCTTTAATGGGACTTCTGTGAACTCTAGGCTCCTGATTCACACTCGAAGCTACCTCTATGATGTCATGGGAGATTAACGTTAAGATCACTCTGTCCCATGTCCTCTGTCCTTTGGGAGCTCACTAAGCCTTCCCCTCTTCTCTTTCCTTTTTCCGGTACCACGAGGTGTGCATCAGAGTAGAGGGCAGTGCGGTGGTTTATACCATCTTGTAGGGCAAGGCACACAGACTGCCACAGTGAACGTGAGCAATTTTCTCTAGCTAAGAGAACGCTGAGGGGGCAGTGCTCATGACGGTTGACCTACAGGGCCCTCAAAGTCTTGCAAGACTAGCTCGGGATGTGAGAAGAAGAGCAGTTTAGTTTTCTCGGACTGAGGGTGTGAAGGTCACTTGATAGCTGCAGAGTGTGCTTTCAGCAATTGCCATTATTTTGCATTCCAGGGAGATAAAGTCTCAAAGTACAGTTGCATAAAGGATTGAGGCATAAATCTGCCGTGGGTAGGCTCCAGGCAGTGAAAACTGAGGCTGAGAAGGTGTGGGGTTTAGAGGTGAGCAGCCTACTGTTTGCCTTCTCTGCTAAGCTGAAAAGGGAACTGGACTTCCTCCCATGAGGAAGGTGGGATATAGAGATGGATTTCTTGAACACAAAGGGCAGAGCTAGGAAAGGTCCTTCAGAAGCACAGAAGCGTCCTGACATGGAGCACATAAAGCTACAGGAAAACGTGGTTACCATGACAAAATGCGCTGAGCATCCCTCTGCTCTGCTGAGTCTGTAAGCACCGTTGGGCCGTACTTCCTTTTCTTCTTTTCCTATTCTCATCCCAACCCCTTCGTGTCCCCAGGAACTTTGAAGCCAGGAGAGATGGCAAACTACAAAAAGTGGCGTTTCCTGGGGTGAGGGTCACGTTGTTCTTATCAAGCTTTCTCAGGGTTCTCCTAGGTCTCTTCTAAGACTGGGTCAGAAGCTCTGCATGTGGGCCCAAGAACTTAGCATATCTACTAAGTTTTTCAGTGGTTCTTTGGTGGGGGTGGGGGTAAAGAGACAGAGAGAGAGAGAGAGAGAGACAGACAGACAGACAGACAGACACAGAGAAAGTGACAAAGACCAAGACAGAAAAACAGAAAAGGAGAAACAAACACAATACACACAGAAAAAAAAGATAAACACACTAAGAGAGTGACAGTGAGAGAGTGCGAGAGAGAGACAGAGAGAGAGAGAGAGACAGAGAGAGAGAGAGAGAGAGAGAGCTTGCAGTCTCCCAGGCCTCTCTCTGACTCAATAACAAGGCAGAATGTAACAGCTCTCAGTAGTCCTTCCCTGGTGACCCTGGGCTTCATGAAGCCTCTGACTCCAGAGGAGTAGCTGACAGACACAGATAGGGAGATGGGGAGAAGCAGGCCAAGTCGTCAGAAGACCTTAGTGCTCATCTTTGTCTTCTACCCTGGGCCGAGTGAACAAATGTGGGCTCCATATCTTCCCCGTGCCTCATCACTAGAGCGTCATGGTACCCACTTCCTGTGACTGATGGGAAGCTGAACTGGGAAGTTGCTTGGAACCTGTAGGCACAGCACGAGGAGATGTGAGTGTCACCTTTGCTGTGTCTCTCCAGCTTTGACCCAGATGGTCTTCAGAGTGAGGCCCGAGTAGTGAGATGTCATGCCCCATGGCATGATGGTCTGCACCGTGTTCCAGACATTGGCCCATACTGCACTGTTTTCCCACTTGAACTTGATGATGATCAGCTCGCCAATGTCTTTGTCCAGTGTGATGAGGAGGGAGTAGGTTTTATTACTGGTAATTCCTTCGCCCCTTGAAAATAGACAAAGGAAACCAGTTAACTGAGCTCAGCTGCAGCAGCCAGGTGACACAGACACACTCAGGATACCGAAGTGACTTTGGGGGATTTTTGTTGCATTTCCAAAATCAGTGTTCAATAGACAATACTGGCAATAGGTATGAGAAGTTTAAGAGGGTTTCTCTGACAATAAAATCAGGAAGCCGTACTGTTTTCCATATTAATCACATCAGAAAGGGTCTGAGATATTTTGCTGTCATGAATAGAGCTAACGTCTTTTGGCTTGGTGGAGTTGGGCGATGGATCTGGACGGTCTCTGCGGCTGACACACAGACACCCCATACCACAATCCCCCTTCCCCCAGTATAAAAAGGGCTCTCTCAGTATGAACAGAACCATCCATTAAACAACACAGCTTAACAGGACAGAAAACAACACATTGGAAAGGATTCAGTGACTCACAGCAAGATTGAACGCTACTGCGAGGGATTGGTACTGCTTTTGCTTACTGGTCTCTAAGACCATCCAGTCCCCATCACTGACAGAGAGAGGCCAGCTCCATGCCTTTTCCATGCTCCCGAGCAGTCTCTCAGGAGAAATTATGGACAATATAGAGGTAACACTGGGTCTAGGTGACACAAGCTGGAGGGAGATTTCCCCGGCATGGCTCATCTCAGCTCCTTCTGCCTTGTTGTCAAGGTGACTGGTGTAGGTATCTACCCAGCCCCTGGGCTGTGAGCATCCACCCTAAGGGCAAAACCTCAGCTTACCCTCCCAGCAGAGCACTGCAATGGTAAATTTGGTGAATGTCTGAATCAGTGTCTCAGGGACCCAAATTGGGGACAATCTTTAGGAAGCTAAGAGCTGTCCCTGAAAGGAGTGCTCAGCCCTTGTCACTCCCCAAGGGAGTCTATGGGGAGGGTTGAGATGCCAGAAATGGGTGTGGTCATTTTCTGACTGGGAAAGCTGGGGAGTCTCTGAGTGAGGGAGGCCTCATGAAGCTGCTGGTGTGAGCAGATATGCCAAGGGTGGGGCGAGGGCTGGGCTGGCACGCCCTGTTGGCTGAGCTTGCACACCTGTGACAAAGGCAATGATTCCAGTTTTGTTTCTGGGCATGTTTTCCTGACCTCGCTGGAAAGGTGCTTGGGAATCTTCATGAGGACCCCTGCCACAGCCCTACAGCTGGAGTCTTTGTGAGGACCCCAGCTCCAGCCCCACAGCTTCTCCCCCATCCCCTCAGGGACTCCACTGCATTGCACACACTGAGTGCAGCCACCTCTGGCTTTCCTCTGCTCCCAGGGCGATGACCCTTCACTTTCACAGTTGCCGCTCGGGGATCCTAAGATACAATGTGAGAGACAGGATTGGGTCAGTGTCCTACTGACCAGCATCTTTGGGAAGTACCCATTGAAAAATGGAGTCTGTCTGGAGCCTGTGAGAGAAACAAGGGTGCCATCACCACAGATGGGGCCACATGGTACTTACAGCGTGATGGGAATTTTCTTCACTTCTTCTTTTGTTCCCATCAGGGACATGGAAAAAGTGGGCTCTACTGGCTTCTCAATTTGATTGATGAATTGAATCTTGAACTGGTAATGATAAACTAGAGGTGGAGGAGGGATGAGAGGGCCAGAGATGGAGAGGAGAAAAAAATTAAGTAGGACTTTTTTTTGTGTCTGCCAAGGATGACCTTGAATTTCTTCTTTATTTTTTAAATTTATCTATCTATCTATTTATTTATATTTTATGTGTGAATGTTTTGCATATATACCTGCATGCCAGAAAAGGACATCAGATCCTGTTATAGATGGAGTTGAGCCACCATGTGGTTGCTGGGAACTGAACTTGGGACCTCTGGAAGAGCAGTCAGTTCTCTTAACCATCAGGCCCTCTCTCCAGCCCCAACCTTGAACTTCGTATCTTCTGCTTTGCTTCCCTGAATATCTGGATCACAGATGTGCTCCATGCTCCACCGTACCTGGTTTATTCAGGGCTGTACATGCTAGGCAAACTCTACTGATCAAGTACATGTTTTAAATGAAGCAGGATCTTGTGAGGCCCAGGTTGGACCCAGACTCACAGTCTTCCTGTCTCAGCCTCCACAGTACTGGGATTATAGGCATACAGTCCCTTGCCCAACTATTTATACAGGAATTACAAATTTAAACTCCTCTGCTTTTTTAAAAAAATTTAAAAATGCAGAAGAAACCTAAATAGATAAGTACCAAAATGTTAACAATGTTTCTTTGCTTTTTCACGCTGAGCAGTGGAGCTCTGGGTGCTCTTAGCTTCCTTCCTTCTCCTCTCTATGCATCCTGAATATGGCACAGGACTCGTATTGTATTTATAATAGTGATGATGACGGCTGGGGATGTAGCTCTGTAGGAGACCTAGCATGTGGGAGGCCTTAGGTTTCATCCCTAGTACCAAAAAGCAAAGGAGATAGTCTTGTCTGTGAAAGAAGTGGAACTGGGGACTAGGGAGATGGCTCAGTCAGTGAAGCGCTTGCCTCATAAGCATTAGGACCCGAGTAAAATCTCCACGTAAAAAGCCACATGTGGCGTACTTGCTTGTAATCCCAGCTGTTGCGAGATTGGAGGCAGATATAGGGGATCCTTGGAGCTTGCTAGCCAGCTGGTAAAGGTCCAGGACAGTAAGAGACCTTGTCTCAAAAAGGTAGTCCCTGAGTACAGACACCCAAGGTTGTCCTCTGACCTCAGGACTCGGGGCCGTTTCCCACTGTTGTCCTCCTGGTCCTGATGACCACATATTCATGTTCAAGGCAGTTCCCAGCATCAAACTTCTGCAGGTCATGTGAGCTCACTTTCCGGTGGGGAGAGGGTGTCTCTGACTCTAGATCTCTCAGATTGTTGTAGCAACCACCCAGTGTTCTCTTCTGCAGGATTCTGGGAGGACACCTTTTGTCTACCTTAACACACTTAGACCCTATACTTCGTGCTCAGATCTCTGGACTGGATGCCCTGACCACATTACAAAAGGCTGTGGGTGAAATATTCAGACAAGAGCTACTGGGCCAAGACCAAGTTCTAAACACTTGGATGGAAGCTGTGGGAGGAAGAACCCTGGCTTCTCATCCCAGAAGCTTTTGGAGAGGACTTACACTATTTGGTGGTTGTCAGGGAACCAAGGCAGAACGGAAAGATCTACCTAGGACACGGGCTGCAGGCACTAGGGTAGGAGCCCTGGGATGTGGACAAATGAGAGTCAGGGGCCTGGCCTCTTGTGCTGCTCCAAGAAAGAGGTGGTGTATTCCTAAGCATTTACGCAGTACCCAGAGCTCTGGTTTCTCCATTCAGCCTTCTGTTATAGGAGATGCTTGGCGTTGGCTGCATACTTGGTCCCATGGTACTGGGGAGGAGTGGGTAGAACTGTGGGGGTTTCCCCGGGTGCCTTGCAGATCTATCTCACTTAATTGATGTTGTTATTATTTCATTTCACAGGGCAATGTGCAGCACACAGAGCTTCAGTGACTGTCTGAGGACCACACAGCTAGTGGCAAGTAGCATCTCAGAGACGTAAACACAGGCAGCCTAGCTCTAGCAGCTGAGCTGATCTAGAACCACAATAGCTCCTGTATAGCCCAAGAAAAAGTTAAAATGTAAAAAGAGATTTAAATTGAAAAAAAAAAAAGAAGGTCAAAATAATTATTTAACTAATAATAAATCAGGGCAGGGCATGGTGGTACATGCCTTTAATCCAAGCACTCAGGAGGCAGAGGCAGGAGGATCTCTGTGAGTATGCTGTTATCCTGGTCTACATAGCAAGTTCCAGGACAGCCAGGACTACATAGACAGACCCTTTCCCAAAAATCCAAATAAATTAAACAAGAAAATAAATAAATAGAACCAAGGAACATTTTAAGTAGTAAATACTGGTAAAATGACAACTTGTTTTCTGTGATGAGATTTTGTTTTGTCAGCCAGGCTAGTTTGGGATTCTTGGGCTCACGTGATCATCCCAGCTCAGCCTACTGCATAGCTGGGAAGATGGGTGTGTGCTGCTGTAGCTAGTAGTTAGAGTCCTGGTAACCACTGTGTCCCGGACCACAGAGGCAGAGCTTCTCATGCAATGACCTGAATTTTCTTCATGTGGTTTCTACGGTACCAGCTTTATCTTCCTTGTGATGGCATCTTCTGAAGGAAGAAACTGAGGCTTCTGGGAGGCGGAGTGCATTGCTCGCCTTCCAGTGACTAATGACGGAAGTGGGACAGTTGACTGGGAGGTCATGTGTCCAGCCGTGTGATTTACTCTTAGAAGCCATTAAAAGATATTTTTTTTTTCCCAAGAGCAGGAGAGATGGCTGGAGATATGCTCAGGAGTTAAGAGCACGTATTGCTCTTGCAGAGGACCTGAGTTTGATTCCCAGCGCTCACATCTCCTATAACTCCAGGGGCTCCTGCACCCTCTTCTGACCTCCACGGGCACCTGCACTCTTATGCTCACACCTCCCCCCTCCACACAATGTAAAAATAAAATAAACATCTTAAAGATATTTTCCCAAGCAATTTCAGTTTCACTTGATGAAAGAAATGAAAAGGAAAGGAATAAAAAGGAAAACAAAAGTTATAACCACAGTGCGTAAAATTGTCTGTGGCATCTAAGAGCAAACGCTGCACAACAGGAAGCATATTCTCAGAAGTCACAGGATCTGGATATGGCCAGAACTTGTGAGCACTTGGAGAGGGCAGGGAGCCAGGGTCGGTGTGGGTTTTTTTTTTTTCAAGGTCCACACCTCCTACAGTAAGTGCTTCAATTATTCTCTTCCTGGGAAAAGGAGCTTTTCAAAATGTTTAAAAAGCAATCAAGAGAACAAGAAGCTACAGTGCCCTGGCCTTGGAGGAGCTGGCATTCAGGCTGTCTAGCCAGAGACCTGCCACCCTCTGCCATATCTGGTGACCTTCGGTGTGCACAGCCCCACTCCCTGAGCACAATCTTAGGGGAGGGAGTCTTGTTACTTTAAGAGTCGCCACAATAGGACAAAACTCATCAGACATCCATGCAGTCAGTACACAGTGGGATGTTTGTTAAAGAGCCATAAACAGACAAATTGCATTAAAGCCTCCCCCGCCCCCAACTGTAATGAGAAACATCCATCAAGCACCTTTGTTATGGTACCTCAAGCTACACCCTACTATTCTAAATGTTTTACTCACCTACCTCCCTTGTTTTTTTTTGTTTTTTTTTTTTTTTTTTTTTTTGGTTCTCTTTTTCAACTTTGGTTTTCCAAGACAGGGTTTCAAGCAGCCCAGGCTGGTTTGAATTTGATAACAGAGGTTGACCATAATCTACTTGCTGGTCCTCCTACCTCTACCTCCCAAGTCCTGGGATTACAGGCGTGCACCACCACATCAAGCTTGTGCAGTGCAGGGAATTGAACTCAGAGATTTATCCATGCTGGGCAAGCTCTCTGCCAACTCAGTCACACCCTCAACCCTCGTCTTTGGTTCTCTTAGTGAAGTTAAATACTGGCAGCATGCTGGCTCTCTTTGCTGCGGTTCCATCCACTCTTTGCCCTTGTCTGCCTACCTCTGGGTCTGGGATGTGACTTTGACTGTATCTGCATGTTCTCTTGCTTGTTAGCTTTTGGGTAGGCTTGGGCACTAGGGAGGTGCTGGTGTGTGTGTGGGGGGAACCCAGGGACTTTCCTCTGTTCCTGTATGCTCTGGAGCTGCCTCTGCAGCAGCTTCACCTTCATAGTTAGAAGCAGCAGCCCCTCCTCCCAGCTCTCCCAGAATCCCTGAAGGTCTATTCTTTCCTCCGCTCACCTTCTTCTGATGTCACAGTCAGGTGATGCCACAGTCCTTGCCAACTCCCTTTCCATCACCCACCTCTATAGGGTTCCACTGTCCTTCTTCCATACACCCAGGCCAGACAGTGGGGTCCTGTTTCTCAGCTGAACCCTACACAGATAGATTCTGGTGGTCCTGATGAATTTCAGATAAGGGCACCAAGGGTTAGATATCTAGTTATCTAGATGGTGAAAAGTGGGACAGAACTGCAGACCTGGTGTCTGGTTGCAAAAGACCCTTCTCATGTCCTCTAATGTTGGTATCCTGCAAGTGGTGTGTGCCTTTGAAATCAATGGCAAGTGCCTGACACCGAAGTAGCCCAGGGTCCAGCTATCACTGGCGGGGAGGGAGTTTCTTGTCCCTAAACTGGATATGTGCTTTTTCTCTCCTCTTTTCCTAAGTGCTCTATGGGAGGAGATGGATTTCCACATCAGGGAGGTTGTGGTTTTAAGGTCCTGGGGGCTGTGTGGTTGGATCTGATTATCAAGGCCCCTGGAGCTCCCACAACCTACAAGGGAGAACTGCCTATGTGCCAGGAGGCAGCTGCTTGTTCAGGTGTGCAAATGCAGAAAGCCAGGTGTGGTGGCAGACGGTTGTAATTCCAGCTCGGGCTACACAGCGAGGTTCTATTTAATAATCCCAAACAGTTAAATGAACATAATAAATGAAATGATCACAAAAGGCCTGTGTGAAATGAGGCTGAGGGAGCCATTCCCTGGGGAGCTCATAGAAGACCTGGCTGTGGGGGTGGGGTGGGGAGTGGGGTGATGGGCATCTTCTTCATGATGCTGGGACCACCAATATTCAGAACGTATTCCTGGAGACCCTGTGTCTGAACTGGGACTCTACTTTGTCCCAGTTTGAATGCAGCCACCTTTTGTGAGAGATCTTGAAGTAAAATGAATTCAACATGAAAAAGTCTTTTAGGTATGGTTATGGCTCAGTAGGGAGAGGGCTCATCTAGCATATGCAAGACTCTAGGTTCAGTTCCTTAGCCAAAGCCTGGTTATTGGTTCTTACTTGAATGTGTATAAATGTTTTTCTTAGACGCTCATAGAGTTACAAAGCTTCTGGGGGAAAGCATGACTGCTTTGCTTGCTCACCTTGTGATGTGTTTAACTGGGCTGCTAATAAATGATTTAGCCAAAAAAAAAAATTACCCTGTGACTTCAAAGAGTCCGGATAAGCCTGTGTTCTGACACAGAAACAATTTCCAGATAAAAGGCCTGGAGGAGTCTGCTGACCTGGAATGCGATGAGGCGACTCCCTCCAGAGCAGAGACCTGGGTGAGTCCACACTGTGGAAAGTTCTGGATTCTCATTCACTGTGACACTCTGCTAGTGTCATTTATTAAAGCAAACAACATCCCAAATTTTTCTCCTCAGAGTGGCCATGGTGAACACAAGGTATAGAATTTGTGGAAAGAAAATGTTTTGTTTCCTGTCCTTTTTTTTCTCTGGGAACTGTTACTGGGTCTGGAAGTCTTATGACCTCTCTGCAAACATCACAAAAGGCTTTTGTTCCTCTGGGTGTGGATTTTGTCTCACCAAGCTGTAGGAATGAACTCTCCAGTGCTTTTCTGAAGTGCCAAGGACTTGTTCCTATACTTCAGGAAGCTGACAGTTGCAGGATTAAGGGTCCAAGGATTGTGTGGTCCTGATGTTGAGGCAGGAGACAGCCCATGGGCCTGCAATTCATTGGCCCAGAGCAGGGCAAGGGAAGGAAGGAGGGTCATGGGACTTTGTAAGTATGTGTCTGTGGGGTATGTATTTATTCTAGCAGTCATATCTGGGTTCAGCACTTAGGGCCTGATGCCCAGATGCCATGAGACTAGATGCTTATCCCTCTGTGGGGAGCTTTTCAGTGTGTTGTTGATTGCCTAAGAATGGAGAGAGGGAAATACACAAGAATGCTTGTATGTCTGTATGTATATGCATGCATCTGTGATGTGGGATTCCCCTCTGTATGCTGTGAATGTGTTTTGTTACCATTGGTTAATGAATAAAGCTACTTTGGCCTATGGCAGGGCAGAATAGAGCAAGGCAGGAATTCCAAACAGAGATAGAGGAGGAAGTAGGTGGAATCAAGGAGATGCCATGTTGCTGCTAGAGGAGACAGACACTCCTGAACCTTACCAGTAAACCACGAGCCTCATGGTAAAATGCAAAATAATAGAAATGGATTAATTTAAGATGTAAGGGTTAGTTAATAAGAAACCTGAGTTAATAGGCCAAGCAGTGTTTTAATTAATACAGTTTCTGTGTGATTATTTCAGGTCTGAGTGGCTGGGAACAAACAAGCAGTCTCCACCTACACATTTGTGTATGGTGCATCTGAGTATATATGTATGTATGTCTCTGTGTCTGCATGCATATATTCACATTCATGTGTATACATGTATCTAAATGTATGTAAGTAAATGGTGCATATGCAGGTGTATATGTGTGTATATGCATGTGTATATGCATGCATATATGCACTTGTATATATGTATATATTGTATATTTGTGTATGTACTTGAATATACATGTATATGAATATCTTGCTTCATCTGTGTATGTGTGTATATTTGTGTGTATATGTATATTTGTGCACATGTATACATATGTCTATATGTATGCAAACACATGCATGACTATATTCATGTATATATGTATGCCTACTCATTCATGCATATATGTGAATTGTATGCATATGTATATGTAAATGTGTATATGTATTTATATAATTTACGCATGTATATATGTGTATTCATAGACATGTGTGTGTGTATATATGGGTATGTATAAACATTTATGTGTGTATGCTTGTGAATAAGTATGTATATACGTGTTTGTGCATGTGTGTGTATACATACATGTGGAATATAATGCTGGTTGACCTCCTGTTTTCAGTTCCTTGTACTGTGGGTCTTCACTGTATGGTGGTCATAACGGTCTTCACATGGGAGGCAAAGCCCAGAGTTTGGGTTTTTGTTGTCGTAACTCAATGCCCTGCCTTTGATATGGAACTCCTCACAGCACCTGGAAGTGATGGACGGCCTTGCCTTCTTGAAGGTATCACTCCATGTTGCCTTTTCCTGCTCCCTCTCTGCAGCATTGGCCAGGCCGTGAAGTCCAACAGAAAGACCTATTTGTAGTGGCTTATCTCCACACTGTTGCCACTCATTACTTTATAGCTAAAAATCAACCTGCCTTATGCTGATCTCAGTTTCTCACTGTTTCTCTGGAACTCTCCCTGGAAGGTCGTGGAACTTTCCAAAGAATTAGCCGAGAAAAGCCCAAGACAGACAGATCCCTCAAGTGACAGTTTGTCTGGTCACTTAGAGGAGGTCTGGGAAGAATGGAGAGGCAGTGGGGAGGCTGTTAGAGGAAGAGTCAGGATTGTGAGGTCACTCTGGGTCTGGGTCTGGATCAGAGACTTCAGAAGCTGTAAGAAGTGAAAGGCTAACAGCGACTAAATACAGTGCTTACACGCACAAATGGTGCGACCTCTCTGATCTCAAAGTGTTTATAGGAAATCTGAACAAAACACATCTCATAAATTATGGCATTCTTCTGCCTGTCTCTGTCTCCTCTCCCCGCTTTCTCTATGATAATAAGGCAGCTGAGTGCTTTCCACTCTCCCTCCACCCGGTTACCTCATCTGTTTTCTCAGAGGGTGACACTAGCCCATCACTAGCTAAGCAGGACTTAATGCAAATTCCTTCCTATCCTTTAAAAACAGCCTCCCAGCTGGCCACACTTCCTCCCGATGGAGTGAGGACAGGAGCGCCTGATAAATTGCCTGGATCCACTGGGTGGCCATTTCCCGATTCTCTTCTGCCAAGGTTGCACTCAGCAGCTTTTCCCGAGTTCTGGCAGGGATGTTTGCAGAGAAACAGATCCTTTGATGGCTCCATCAGATATCTCGGAAGCCAGGGGAATGTGGGCCGAGTTAGTGAAGTTATAATCAGGGCCTTATATTTATCTTGCTTGACACACCAGACCCTGACCAAAAATGCACAGCACATGTCCTAGGAAAGTGTGAATAGTGTGAATAGTGACTCCTCTGTACAGCGGGGTGAGCAATGTGGTCGTTTCAAGGTTCTACATGAGAACCCACATCAGAGATGACCGTGGTCATGACCATCGGAGAAGGGGGAGTCATGTGGCTGCTCTAAAGGCCTTGTACCAGCACCATCGATAGAATGTTCTGCAAGATTGGAATGTTTCATTTCTGTGCTGTCTGATTTAGCAGCCATGTATTTATTTGAACCCTTGAATGAGTCATGGCATTCTGTTGTTTTTTTCTTTTTCTGAAGTATTTAAATGAGGGTTTAGAAGGTGGCTCAGGAGGTAAAGGTGTTTGTCAACAAGTCCAACTACCCGAGTTCAATCCCTGAGACCCACAGGGTGAAGAGAACTGACTTGTGCAAATTGTTCTCTGATGTCCATAAGTATGCACCGTGGCACATTCCCACTCCCTCTTCATATATTATATAATAAAGTAATAAAAAATGTAAAAAGTATTTAAATAGCCACATAGGGTTAGTGGATAGTTATCCTTACTGGGCAATGTTATACTGATGACAGAGTTGACCAGTTAAGTCTCACTGGGTGTCATCTACAGCTTCCCCGGGGCAGTATGACGTGGCCACTGACACACTGATCCCATGGTGAGGGACATTAGCTTGGATGCATGAAACCTCGCTCGTTTGAAGGAGTGAAGAGGAACTGGAAGACTAGGGGCTCAGTCCTTAGCTTTATCCTTGGCTGGTTTCAGGAAGTCCTGGTGAGTCCCCTCCATATCACTGGCATATCACAGTGATTACTGTCCTCACTGAATGTGCCTGGAGCAAGAAAATTTACTGAAATAAAGTGAAATAATTGTTTCCAAAGGACCTGTTGCCTTTTGGGCTGCCCTGAGCCCCTGAGATGGGTTCTGTCAGTGGACAAGAACACTAGTGGGTCACTGCTGGGTGAGACAAAGCAGAAATATTGAATTTTCAGGGCAGCGAGTGTTGATTGGTCCCTACAACTCTGCACATGCGAACAGCTCTTCTTTCCTGGCTTCCTTCTCTGGTCACTGCAGCCCAGAAGGAGTTCCTGAACCTTCAGGTAGGACACTCACCTCTGAAGGGGGCCTGAGCTCGGGTGATGAGAAAGAGCTTCTTGCTCTTGCCTGGCCGATCCTTGTGGATGTCATAGCCCAGAGTGTTGCAACGGCCCTTCTTGCAGCTTAGACACAGGCCCTGGCTGAAACTGTCCATGTCGCTGCACTGGAAGCCTGTGCTCTGCAGCCCGCTGTGTCGCAAGGAGTCAATGAAGAGGTGCACTGAGCGCTCATGAGCACATTTGATGGTCTGGGTTATGGCTGAGACACAGGACAAAAAGACAGTTAGCACTCTGAGCCCCAAGTGGCCCCAGTCAAAAGACTCATGGTTTCAGTCCTAGGCAGGTGTGTGTGTGTGTGTGTGTGTGTGTGTGTGTGTGTAGCAGGATTGCTGAGTTCTCCCAGACAACAGGGGTCTGTTGCAATAGAAAGCTAAAGAAAGTAGACCTCTGTAGTCACTGAGATCACCCTGCTATGATAACATGGATTAGACGGTGTTTTTATAGGCACCTGCTGTTCCTAGATAAAATCCAGATAGCACAGCTCACTTCTGAGGTATCCTCACATGGTTAGCAAAGACCTAGTGCTGAGGTCTGGACAGAGGGTTACTTGAATAGGGCTGCGGGCTTCCTCTTTTCTTACCACAGCCAGATCATCCAAGTCTAGGGCCTAATCCCCAAAGCAAAATTTTTTGTGTTTAACATTCTGGGGTGGTGGTGGGTTGGGGGTACAGTGAGATGGCTTATTAAGGAAAGGGGCGCGCTGCCAAACCTCAAGACCTGAATGCAACTAAGATAAAACTCCTATAAGTTGCCTCCACACACACGCGTCCCCAACACACACAAAATAAATGAAATGTAGTAAAGATAAAAATTAAATTGTGTGTGTGTGTGAGTGTGTGAGTGTGTGTGTGTGAGTGTGTGTGTGAGTGTGTGAGTGTGTGTGTGTGTGTGTGAGTGTATGCGAGTGTGCATGTGCTAAAGTCAGAAGACAACTATCAGGAGCTGACATTCCCCTTCCTCCTTTACATGGTCTGGGGATCCAACTCAGATCAACAAGTCTTCATGGCAAAGGCCCAGACCCACTGAACCTTCTTCCTGGTCCATCAACCTCTTTCTTTCAAGACAAAGTCTCGTATTGTGTGGGCTGGCTTTGAACTCCTGTCTCCTGAGTGCTGCGATTACTCCGTGCCTGGTTTTGTGCAGAGCAGGTGCTGGAATCCAGGTTTTCCTATAAGCTCTGCTGGCACTCTGCCTTGGAAGCTACACGCCCATCCTCCCAACATGAAACCTGACCTTTTTAAAGAAAACCTTCCAATCTCTAATCTAATCTGTAGCAAATTATTCTTAAGTGAAGTCAGGGAGCAACCAGAAGACACAGAAATACCTAAAGCCAGGTCAGGCACAGGGCATCTTGCCTTGGAGCCACTTCCTTTAGTGTTTGAAAACTAAATGCAACATTGGTCATCTCGGTCACCATCAGCTCTGCTGCTGGTGTCTGTTAGGAGGACTGTACTGTCCACTCAACCATTCCCCACGGCTCCCCAGCAGTGCCTGGAGGCAGCTGTTATAAAAAAAAATGAGAAAATAGCCTCAAAGACGTTCGCAGGGCTCTGGGTGTGGTGCCTGTGTGTGTGTGGGTGCGGTGGGGTGAGGAGGGTGGGGAGGGAGGAAAGCTGTTATCAGGCTGCCTTCTGCATAGGTGTGGTTGGGGGAATTCTCCAGAATGGAAGCACTTTAAATAAAGAGGTGAAGGACTCAGAATTCTTCCCCCCCCCCCCCCCCGCCCCGGTTAGGCAAGCAGGGTGCATTCAATTAGCTATACCATTTTAAGTTTAGCGTGGAAAAGAAAACAGCAGTGACTGGTCAAAAATGTGTGTACCGGGCAAGTGGTGACCAAACACTCTCCTAGGGGCTGTGCTGAGCTTTGTAAGGAGGGGCTGTCGCTCTGAGAAAAGTGTGGGTGAGTCAGCTGGGACCTGTGGCTGACCGGAGGAGTGGTGACGCTATGGAGATGCAAAGACAGATAAGGGGAACTTCCCAGAAGGCTCTGGAGTGTAGCCGGAAGCTGGGAATGCAGCCAACTGCAGTAGGGGAGGCAGTGAGGTGTGCGAAGGTCTTTCTGATACTGGAGAGGTGAGGGTGGTGATGGAATCCCCAGGGCATGCTCAGCCTGGATTTGGATGACCGAGGTGGGAAGCTAGTGTGTAGGATGGGGGTCTCCAGCTGTCACAGAGTGACCTGGCACGTTCTCATCAGGGTAGCATAGCAATGAGAACTCTGGAATGCCTGCAGTTTCCACGGGCCTGGAAGGCGCGGTTGCATGCTCTTTAGTTCCTTTTTATCCTGTGTGTGTTACCAACGTACATGTAGGTAGATCTGCTGCTGGAAGTTGCATGGGGGCATGTGGGCCTAGGGGAGAGTGAGAACGGGCATTGGGAAGTCAGGCCTAGGCTGGGGAGAGGTCAGGAAGAAAGTGATCGCCATGTAAGCACAAGGATCTGAGTTCAATCCCCAGAACTCAAGTGCAAGAGCCAAGTATGGTGGTGTGCTTGCAATCCCCATGCTGGGGCGGCAGAGACAGGCTTGGGGCAGCTCCCCTAACTGAATCAGTGAGAACCAAACCAGTAAGATACCTTGTCTCAAAAAACAAGATCGAGTGCACACCCATGTACACACACACGCACACACACGAACACACACACACACACACACACACACACACACACACACACACACACGAAGTCAAATGCCCTCCTGTGACCCTAGAGACTGGAAGCCTCCAAAGATGGAAAGTTCCAGAAAGGAGAGGACAACAGGCAGGGCCAGGACTCAGCTCTCACAAGGGCAAATGCTCTCTGAACAGCTTCTGTGTCACTCTGGGCAGGGGTGGGAAGAGATGGCTCCTGATGCTGCTCTTCCACATGGCCTCCCAGGCCCTCTGAACCATCACAGCGAGTAGCTGGGGGGACCACTACCCCACCAAAAGACCTTTGAGACCCTATAGCAGGGTCTCTAGCCTTGCTGAGATGGTCCTGGAGGCCTCAGAAACAGGCTAAGGCTCTAGGCTTTGACTTGCCGTTCTTACCGTTTAAGCCGTGCTCTGCGATGTGTCTGTAGAGTTCCAGGAAGTGGCAGCCGGGCTGGAAGGTGCCCCCATTGGGGTAGAAGTCATAGTGGGCAACGGGCTGTTTGATGCCCACACTCAGACCCATGTGCTCACGGGTGAAGGTGTGAATGGCATCCACAAAACTGGCATCATCTGGAGAAAGACGGTCGCTAGGAGAAGAGCCCTCAAACATAGGGCCTGCGGGGTCCAGTCCTAGTGAGAAAACAAAGGCAGGTATAGGTCAGCCGCAGAAGGCTCTCCTCCCAGCTCTGATATCACACATTTCTGGGCGAGCAGGAAGACAAGAGCTTGGTGCTTCTCTGGACCCTTCCTTCTACTCTGACATTGCTGTAGAGCCACAGGCATTTACGGTGCCGAAAATCACCCAGGCCAGGCATTATTCTAAGGGAAAAGAGGTTTGCAGATCAGGAGGTAACAATCAGGTTATGAGTGAATGCTTGATTTATTTAAGCAAATCAATTTTAAGTGCCTCCCCTGATAGTTTCTGCAGCATCTGTTTGCATAAAAATGCAGCAGCCCACGGTGCTCATTATATGCAGTTCTGAGTCCTTGGGCAAAGGAAGAATTTGTTTGCCTGTGTGTCGTCGTCTCCTCGAACAAGCTGGCTTCCTACGCTCATGTCATCTGATTGGAAGGTCCAGAACAAGCTTAGGAAGGGATGAAAAGTGTCAACGTGTAGGGGCTTAGTAAGCCCCAGGCTCCGAGTGACAGACACACTTGCAGGAACAAGAATGGCCCCTGGACGACTGCTTGGGGAGAGTACCTATGCACCACGGACCCTCTTCCTCGGATTTGTCTGAAGGACCCTCTGGTGCCAGGTCTCAGCCCTGGCTGCCATCGTTGGCTGCAGCCAAGGGAGGAATTGACAGTGAGCTGTTAGGTCCCCTGCTTTCCAGCCCCACCTGCGGCCTTGGTGCCATCCATATTTCTTTCTTTAGACTGACAGCCAGATGACTAGAGCATAAGGAGCCCTGCTGCTGTCCCCTGTGTGGGTGGCCTGGTTGTAAATGCTGGGATGTGACAAGGCCTGCTGAAATGGGAGGCTGAGGGCTCAGGCCTGATGATGTCTCACTTTGTGGAATTCTTTGTTTTTTTCTTTTTCCAGTGTGTGTGTGTGTGTGTGTGTGTGTGTGTGTGTGTGTGTGTGTGTGTGTGTGTGCATGGTTGCAGGTAGGAAGGTGTGCATGTGACACCCGGAGATTGATGTCAGGAGTCATCCTTAATTGTTCTTTCACCATATTCAATGAAGCAGGGTCTCTATCCAAGTCTGCGCTCACAGGGCTATGCTGTTTGTCATGGGGCTCCCCTCCCTGTCTTTGCCTTTCACGGCTGGAATTATGGGTGTGATAATCCACACCCATTTGGCATTTATACACACTCTGGGGATCCCAACAAATTCCAATCCTCAAATTTGCTTGCAATATTTAAGTTCAAACTTTGAGGAATTTTGACCCCTCTAGCAAAGCTTCTAGCAAGGCAAGGCATTTATATACATTGGAGGCAGGAGTGTCAGGTTAGATATAGAATTGGAGGCTAGCCTGGGCTACATGAGACATGTCTCAAAAACAAAAACACAAATAAACAACAAAACCAGTAGAAGTTTCTTGTTCTAAACTGTCATTGGAATCCTCTTTTGGACCCCATTGGAACAGCTTTGAGAGTAGCTCACTGGAAGAAAGGTCATAGGAAACAGGCTGTCCTTTGTTCTGTGTTCCCATGGAAGAGCAGCAATTCCTGACAGAAGACCTGCTGGGGAGGGTTTGGTGTCATCTCCTGAGCTAAGAGTCATCCATGAGCATAGGGAAGCAGATGTGTGCGCCCTGCACCCGGCGGCCACGGTCACCTGTGATTCTTCCAATCTTGTGCTTTCCATCCATAGAACTGCCTGCGAACCCTGAGACATGCGCTCCCAGGCTGTAGCCGATTAGGTGAACTTCACTTGGAGGAAACTTCACAGATTCCTGCAAGACAGGGCAGGAGGGTTGAAGGAGGGGGTGGTATGAAGCCAAGAGCCTTCCACGGGGCCTGCTTCTGCGGGGCACCCATTCGTGCTTGGAGCTGCCCGTGAATCAATGCTTTCTATTGGGAAACTGACTAATCACCTCACTGTCTGTCCTCTTGGGGGATGGGGGATGGGGTGGCCTTTCTTTGGGATATCCTGGTGACTGTTGCCTCCTGCCTGCCTGGCTTCAGCTGAAAAGTTTCACTGGTGCCCTGCAGAAACTAGGGATCCCCTTGTCTTCACCTTTTATGGCTTCTAAGTGTGTTTAGATTCCTCAGGACTGATGTATCCAAACTGTTGTCTTCTCTGAGTCATAACGCATGAAGTATAGTTTTAGGCCACACTGGGGCACCCAAACTATGACCCACAGGTTTCAAGAGCATAGATATATTTATTTTGTGTGACATGGAGACAGGACATTGTCATTTACAAAGTTCATCGCGGATAACTGTGCATTTGAACTTTAAATATTGTGAGAAAAATCTCATAGTTTTCTTTTCCCAATGTTTTAAAAATATTATGACATTTTGTATGTGAGCACGTGAATGTGTGTGTGTGTGTGTGTGTGTGTGTGTGTGTGTTTGTGTGTGTTCAGAGATAACTTGAGGAAGTCAGTTTTCTCTTTCTGCCATGGGGGTCCACTGGTCTCTAATAATGTTTTACGATTTTGTAGTGGACTGCATTCAAGACTCTCCATATGTCCTACTCTGCTTTCTGTTGCTGTGATAAAACACCGACTAAAAGCAACTTGTGGGGGAAAGGGTTTAGTTTAGCCTATAGATTACAGTGCACCATGAGGGGAAGTCAGGGCAGGGACCTGGATGCAGGAACTAAATCAGAAACCATGGAGGAACTCTACTTTTCTGGCTTGCTTTTCATGCCTTGCTCAGCCTACTTTTTTCTACAACTCCGGATCACCTGCCCAGGGATGGCACTGCCCACAGTGGGTTAGGCCTTTCACATCAATCATTAATGATGATGATGATATATAAAATGTCCCACAGGCTTATCTACTGGCCATTCTGACAGAGGCATTTTCTCAGTTGAGTTCCTCTTCCCAGAGGACCCTAGCTTGTGTCAAGTTGACAGTGCACTAACCAGCACACCGTGGCTGCGTGGGATAGCCTGGGTAGGGATGGGACACTGCTGCTTCAGGATAATGGAGGGGTGTGCAAACAGGAGTGGTGGCTGGGGAGGAGGGAGAAGATGCTCAAGGGAGGCCTCATCTCTGGCCTCAGACCTGTAAGCTGCACACTGAGGTCTCCTGGGGCAGCAGGGAGACCTCTCTGAGACCCGCTCACCTTCCCTGCTGTCAGAGGAGCAGGCGGGTGGACTTACCTCCAGCCATAGGAGAAGAGCAGCCACCTCTTGGCCTACAACACGGGTGTTGCGGACAGCGATGGCGTAGTGTTGGTAAGCCAGGGAGATCCACTCCACGACCCCCACATTCACGGGTCGGGACTTCAGCACGCCTACTAGCTTCCAGATCCACGTTTCTAGCAAGCCATCCACCTGAGGGTGTGCCACAGGTTGTCAGCCTTAGCTGAGAGGGGAGAGGGAGCCCTGTTCCTGGGGTCACTGAATACACAGTCTCAAGGACATCACTAGGTCTTCCCTTCCAACAGAGAGGCCTGGGATTCCTCAACCTGGAGCTGAGAATGTTTGAGTCAGGAGCTCTTGCCCAGCTGTTAGCCCATCTCTAGCTCCGCCCATGTGGTGTCAACCCTATCTCCAGCCCCGGAGTTTGAAGACACAGTGTGCCCAGACCTTGGCACATTCTCCCCACCTGAGAATCACTGTCTGAATTTTCCCCCACGGTGGCACTTTCTGAGCCCTAGAACAATGGAAAAGTGTGTGAAAATGAGGTCTGGGAGTTGACTTCTGGAGGTCAGCTCCTCGGTGCCTGGGGTCCCACAGGGTCTGTCCTGTCCTCTTCTCCCTTTGGTGGGGTGAACCTGAGACCTGGAGCCCTGCTTTGTGTGTCCCCTGCTTGGGACAACAAATGGGGGTGTTCGCTGTGTTCCCAGAGCTTAGTGTTTGTTTTGTGCCTTGGAGAATAAGTAGAGGTTAGGGAGGATGGGGGACAGGCAAGAAGGTGGTCACAGGTGAGGCTAGGGCATTCCAGTCTTGTAGGCCTGAAGGGGGTATAAAGGTGTCTTAGGATTGGAGAGATTTAGGAGAGTTCAAGGTCATACTTCAGGAGGGGAAATGGTAGAACTCCATCCTCATACCCCACCACGCCCCCATCCCACCCCCATTAGCCACCCTCCCGTCCTTCCAGGGGAACTGAGCTATGGTTATCGAAGTAATGTTTACTGAGAGCCAAATGTACCAGTGGAAGTACTTTGCATGTATATTTCTTGGCCCCTGTGTCTCCATTTCTTCGTCAGCAGCATGGGAATGTTGCCTGGCTTCCAGTAGGGTTGTTGAGACCAAAGGAGTGGATGGTGGGCGTGAAGTTCTTAGAACAACGCCAGGAGCCCAGGCAAGGTGCAGAAGCTCACGGTCCCCCAAGCTCTTGTTGCTATCAGCATTAGTGTTTCTAGGTAAACATGTGGTGGTGGTGGTGATGGTAGTGATGGTGATGGTGGAGGAGGAGGAGGTGGAAGTGGTGGTGGTGATATTAGAGTCTGCAGAGGTTGCATACTCTGGACAAACAAATTTTGAGACCAAAGAACACATTTTGCTATAGGAGCCTGCAGCTTTGGGTTGCATGTCAAAACCAAATCCATTCATTTGATCATTAATTCAGAACAAACATTTTGGAGCGCCTAAATGTGTGGTGGATATTGGCTTGCAATGTCAGATAAGAATAGGACAGCACCTTTCCAGGCAGGAACTTACAGCCTAGTGGGTCAGAACCACTGAATGAAAAAGCCCCCACAGAAAGAGGAGCCAGAGGGTGCTGGGGTCTGGGAACTCAGGGACCAATTGTCACAGCCTGGGGGCGGGCTGGGCTGCGGCAGGGATGGCCTGAAGGAGGTCCTGATTGAGACTGTACCTACTGGGAAAGAAAAGCTAACCCAGAGAAGAGAAGGAGAAAGGGGACACTAGAAAGTGGGCAGAGGACAGGAGGTGACAAAAGAAGGTGCCAGGGTGGACCGGTGAGTCACTTTATTCTCTAGAGCAGATGAGGTGGGGGTTTCAAGAATACTTTTCGTGTCTGGGGATATACTTCATCAGTAAAGTGTTTGCCTAATAGTCATGAAGCTCTAGGTCTGATCTCTAGCATTGCATAAAATAGACAGAGTAGCATGCAACTGTTGTTCCAATCCTTGGAGGTGGAGCCAGGAGGAACAGGAGTTAAGGGTCACCCTGCTTACATGATGAGGCCAGCTCTTTAAAAAATAATTTTTAAGTAGTTGATAAAAAATAAATTCTAATCCGTTTGTTGTAGGAGGGGTGGCTTCATTGGCAGAGCACCGGCCTTACCCAGAGCCCGCATTTGATCCTGAGAACCCACATAAAGTTTGCTGATGTGATGCTAGATATGGGTCAAGGTTAAGAGTCTGTACTCCCTTTGTGGAGGACTTGAGTTCTGCTCCCAGCACCCATGCCTGGCAGCACACAATTACCTGTAACTCCAGCTTCAGCGGATCCAGCACCCTCTTCTGGCCTTGGTGGGCACCTGCACTCTCACGCACATACACAGACACACACACACACACACACACACACACACACACACACACATAACATTTCCTCTGCCCTGCTTACTCCTGGAACTGAGAAAACTGGGCGGTGTTTCACCAACGCCGTGTGTGAGGTTGGCATTGTTAAGGTCCAGTGCACTAGGAAGAAGGACAGCGAGCAGGAACACACAGAGAATACAGCACGTCAGCACTTCCTACCGACCACCCGTGGATGATCATGACCAGCGGCTGGGAGGTGTTGAAGCCGCACTCTCGCAGTGTTTCTGGGCTCTGGACTCGGAGCTGACAGCCTCGGCGATCGTTTTCATCTTTGAAGAGCAGGAATTTGGTCCCCATTTCCTGTGATGGTTTCCTTACTTCAGCAGCTCCATAGCTTTTCCCAAATGGCTCTGGAATACAAAATCAGGATTGTGGATTAAGCCTGGCATGTGTTCCATCAATGCTGACCTTGGGACGGCCCACAGGTGGTTCTGAGCTCCAGCTGATGATTACTGAGAGGTGCTGGGAACCAACATGAACTCCATCTTTGAGGAGCCCAAGGATATTCATGGTGGGATGGGCAGATGGTAGTGGGGAACTTGGGAAGTCCCCATACAAGCGGAGTGACCTAACCTTCTACCTGGTAAGTAGCCAACAAGGCGCTAGCTGCCTGGCTCTGAGGTTTGGGGAATGTAGGTGAGGCCCCTGGGACTGAGGCTGGCACACAGTGAGCTTCACCCCAGGTTACACTGGTAGGAAGAGGCAGCCAGGATTTGAACCCAGGTCTGTCTCCAGGGCTTGAAAGCCAGCAGAGAGAGAGAGGATGTCACTACATGTCACCCCTCAAAGCTCATCCTGTTCTCATTGTAGACATAATATACAACATAAACCTTGAAGGGACTCATTGTAGAACAATAGCGGAGAATCCCAAAAAGGGTGACAGACTGTCCTTGAATGCTAAGAGTTACTGGAGCTGTGTGTATTTGGGGAGTGGGGCATGAAGGATGACTCAGAGACCGGAGAGCTCGTGACCAAAGACACAGAGAGAGGCTGAGCAGGATAGAGCATGGAAGCCAAAGACCTTGGACTTAAAGCAGTGGGGGCTGGAAGGACAGGTCAGTTGGTAATGTGCTTGCCTTGCAAGCCTAATGACATATGAGTTCAATCCTCAGTACCCACACATAAGACCAGGCCCTGCAATGTGTGTTTGGCATCCCCGGTTGTTCTGGCTTCATTTCCAGTGCTGTGATAAAATGTCCCGATCAAAGGCAACTTAGGGAAGAAAGGCTTATCTGGTTTATAATTCCCAGTTCCAGTCACCTGTTTGGGAAGTTAAGAGAGGAATTTGAAACAACAGTCACATGACCATTGAAAGCAGAGCGTGAATGAATGTGTGTATGCTTAGCCCTCACTAGCATCCTCTAATCCAGTCCAGGGCTGCAAACTGTCCACTTTCAGGCTAGATCTTCTCTCATCAATTAAGGTAATAAAAACAATCCCAGAGATGCCACAGGCCACCCTGACTGACCTAGGGAATAACCCTTCACTGAAACTCTTCCCAGGTTAGTCTAGGTTGTGTTGACAGTTAAAATTAGCCACCACACAGGTTGTCCTCTGACTTTCACACATATGCTGTGGGGTGTGCTCAAGCTCGCTAACACACAAAGGCCCCCCCCACATGTACGCCTGTGCGCACACACACACACCCACACCCACACCCACCATACATATACATGAAAAAGCAAACGAGGATGAAAACAGTAGGCATCTCCTGGGGTTGTTACAAAGATTCAAGCGGCTTTGTCAAGTGTTGAGAACAACGCCTACCACAGACTTAGCACCTAGGTAAGAGTGGATTGTGGGACTAAGCTCAGATCCAGCCCTGGCATCTGGTCCTTCTCATCTGCGAATCTTGTCTTTCTGTGAAAATGTACCCCTGCTGGCCTCCCAGAGTCAGTTCCTTCTTGCATATATTGACTCTGGATTTACATCTGAGAACATGTCTTAGCCCAGATGCCCACAGCCTGCCAGCTGAGCAGGATGGAAAAGAGTTTTCAGATAGAAAGCCCAGGGAGAACCGAGCAATCCGCTCTCCCCTTCTGCCTTTGGATTCCTTCCCCCGCGCATGCGTGTGAGGAGGGAGACGGCGCTCAGCTAACACATGCTGCTCACCGCTGATGCTCCAGGCCTGGCTGGGTCTGAGCTGGAAGTAGGTGGGAAAGCATATGGCTGCCCTAAGGCTACAGTGAGGATGCCATGGTGGGCGGGGCTGGGGAGGTGCCCAGAGAAGATGAAGCTGCGGTGGAGTCTAGGTTGAAGATTTTTCAAACTCACGTCCAAGAAAAATGATGGAAGAAAAGGGAGTCTGATGTGATTCGGCGGAGGATGTACAAGTCAGAGGGATGCTGCGGAGAGGGTCCTCGTGTTGCTTTGCGCAGCTCCAGCACTTAGACATGGGACCCGTGGGAGGGCATGACACAGAGAAAATACTCGACCTTCGTTGAAGAGACTGGCACGGAGATAGAATGATGGTAGTAAACCAAGCAAGATAGGTTAAGTGATTTTGTATTAGATTTTACTTATTTGCATGTGTATTGTATGAATGTATGTGTGTGCCTCGGTACATGTGTGGAGTTCAGAAGGCAACTTTTGGGAGTTGGTTCTCTTTTTCCACCATGTGGGTCCCAAGAATTGACCTCAGGTTGCCAGGCTTGCCTGCAAGTGTCTTTACCCACTGAGCCGTCTCACAGGCCCCAAGTCAGATTGTTAAGATAACATCCTAAAACTTACACTGTGAGATCAGGTTGCTGGGAAGAGCCTCAGATCATGTAACATTTGGGGTATTTCCTTCCAGTCCCCCTCCACCCGAGACTTTTGTCCAACACACTAAAAAAAATTCCATTTTTATTTATATGCATGTGTGTGAGTATGTCTATGGCTATATGCACATGAAGGCAGGCAACCATAGAGCCCAAGGGCATCAGATTCCCTGGAGCTAGAGTTACAGACAGTTGTGAGCCACCCAACATGGGTTTTGGGAGACTGAATTCGAGTTCTTTGTAAGAGCAGTGTGTGCTCTTAACCACCGACCCATAGACCGTCTCTCTATAGGTATCTATTTGTCCTTTCTCTGGGATCAAATATGAATGATTTTTAATGCTTCTTCTCCTGCCATGATGGTTTCTCACAGCAGTACAAATTTTTCACAAACATGTTTTTGAAAGGTGGTATGATTTATCTGTTTCATTTATATTTAGTTTGTTGCCAGGTTTTTTTTTCTGTGTTTAGAACAATGCTTCAATGGCCATCTTTATGTTTAAATCTTTGCCAAAATCTATGTGATCTCTAGTAGATATTCCTAAGAACAGTCTTGTTAGTCTTGTTTATAGCTCTGTTTAAGTTCATACACAGTGTTTTCAGCATCTTTTTTTCCCCAGGACTAGGAATTGAACCTGGGGCCTCACACATGTTGGCAAGCACTCTGCTGCTCACCTGCATTTACAGCCTGTGTTTTCAGCATTTTTTTTCTTGTGTGGGATGTTCATGTGTATGTCTGTGTGTTTGTTGGCACGGGTGTGGGTGCATGTGAGGGCGCACGCACAGTGCGCGCGCGCGTGCGTGTGTGTGTGTGTGTGTGTGTGTGTGTGTACATGAGGTCAGAAGAGGACATTGGATTCCATGGAGCTTGAATTACAGGTAGTTATGAATAGCCTGTTGTTGGTACTGGACACTAAACTCAGGCCCTCTGCAAGAGCAGCAAATGCTCTTAATCACAAAACCATCTCTTCAGTCTCTCACATCTTAAGAGACAAGGACTCCAGTGATATGAAGCCAGATGGTACTGTGGTTTTGAGAGGCAATATCACCTGAAGTAAATGGTCAGCTACTTCAGGAGAATCTACTCCTCTTTCTTGGAAAAGTAGGTGGTGGGGGCATAGGAGACCTAGGGTTGTGGCAGCAAGTTCCCAAGGATGCCAAACACCTTCTCCTTTAGACAAAAGGATTTTTGGATATTATTCCTTGCCTTAATTTTTTTAAAGCCAGCTCCGTGTTAGAAGTTCCTTGGAAATTCATACCAGAACAAATTACTTCCTCTTCTCTTGGGCAAAGACATCATCAGGTGGGTGACTTCGGGCAACCGAGCTAGGCCATCTGGCCTAGGAGAAAGCCAGTTGAAAGCTCTGCTTGGCTTTACTTCCTCTGCTGCAATGCCTGTGCAGGATGCTTCTGCTTGGTTGAGCGCATGCCAGGTGCTTGCCAGGTACTGGATGAAGTTAATGAAGCAAGTGCACGAGATGGAGGCCTCGGGTACTAATGTGCCCCTGCAGAGCTGTTTGCAAAACATCTCTACAAATTCATTATTTAATTGTGCTTGAGTGTGTATATGTGCGAGTGTGTGTGTGTGTGTGTGTGTGTGTGTGTGTGTGTCTGTCTGTCTGTGTGTGTGTGCTTACCACACTCTTGTTCTGTAAACATGTATTGTTGAAAATATTCCCAGACCTGGCAGGAGTCCTCTGGAAGACCATCATTTCCCAGTGTCCCTGAAACTCTTCCAACCACATCCTCTGCCCAGGATGGAACATTCCCACGAAATAAACGTAGCTGCCACTCTGTGGCTGCTGGCTTCAAGACAATGGTTTAAAGTTGGGCCATGTTAACTTTGGAATTTCTTGTGTGGGGCTTAGGCATTGTAACTCAGTTGGTAGAGTGCTTGCCTAGCCTTCGCAAAGCCCTGGGCTCATTCCTAGCACTGCATAAGCCCAATGTGGCGGCACAAGTTGTAATCCTAGTCATTGGAAGCAGGAGGCAGGAGGATTAGATTCTCAAGATCATCCTTAGCTACACAGGGAGTTTGAGGCCAGCCTGAGTTACATGAGACCCTGTCTCACAAAGGGGGGGATGGTTGAAGAGATAGTTCAAAGGTTAAGATTGCAAACTGCTCTTGTAGAGGATCTGAATTGGATTCCTAGCATCCACTTCAGGTGACTCACAACTACCTAGGACTTCGGCTTCAGAAGATCTGATGCCTCTGACCTCCTTGGACAACTGTACTCAGGTGCAATATGCCCACGCAGAGACACTCCTGTACACATAATTAAGATAATAAAAACAAATATTTTTAAAAGCACATGAATTGGGAACGCTATTCTCAGGCTTCTGGCTTCTTTTTTCCTATCTGGTCCTGTAGAAGTCCATTAGGAATCCTCCTCTGGGCCTAGCTTGTTGATGCGCGGTGGAGCACAGTGCTGGAGAATGTCAGAGGCCGGTGCTCTGTAGCCAATCTGCCTGGCTTGAGTCCCAGTTCTGCTGCTAAGGCTCCGTGGCCTTAACCTCTCAGTCTCCTCTCTAATAACAGACTAACTGAAGCACCCCCACTAGGATTATTGTAAGTCAGAGGTGAAAACACATT